GGGGAGAGGGAGTGGGGGAGAGGGAGTGGGGGAGAGGGAGTGGGGGAGAGGGAGTGGGGGAGAGGGAGTGGGGGAGAGGGAGTGGGGGAGAGGGAGTGGGGGAGAGGGAGTGGGGGAGAGGGAGTGGGGGAGAGGGAGTGGGGGAGAGGGAGTGGGGGTATTGGGCTCCACTCCAGCCGCCCAGCCGAATACACATCTTCCGACAAAGCCAAGTACTATGCCTGGGGATAAATCTCCAGGCTTGACGTTTACCTAGCCCGGTGCTCTACCAACTTGAGCTACGCCGGTGTCTGATTGTGTGTATGTATGTTGTTACAGGGTGGTTAACTTCGCCAGCGGCCCCCTTTCCCGGGGCAGTCTCTGCTCTCCCCTGCTAGAGGGGCACCCTAATCCGTTACCCCATCCGACTTAAGAATGTATTCGTTGGGTTCGGCAACTCACCACCAGCATCCAACCAAATCTAGGGGATCAACGGGGCATCAACTTAGTTCCTGGTCAGCTCGCAAGTTGATATTATCACGTCCTACATCGTCCGTATGATGGGGGCCACCTCTCATTTCAACACTCCTCAAACACCCGATGAGCCGGCAGGCGGATTTGAATTCGGGTCGGCCGGGAGCAGAAGTCAGGCCTTAACCTTTGCCAGCCGCCTGCCTGCATATGTATGTATGTATGTATGTGTATTTGACCGCAGGCGGCGGGCCGGGAGATGCTCCGAGTGCAGGGCCCAACTGGCATCCAGGTGCGTGAGTGTGTGCGAGTGTGAGTGAGTGAGTGAGTGAGTGAGTGTTAGTCAACGCTATAATTAATTTGTCCGCACTCAGTCAGTCAGTCAGGTTGGTCCCTATAGTTGGAATGGAATTACAAGTGATCCGATTTCTTCTAGTTTAAATGGTGTGTGTGTGTTGTGTTTGAGATGTGAGGGGAAAAAGGTCATTTGCTTCATTCCCAATTTGTTTCCTTCCAAAGCTCCAAGACCTCGTCTACGTTATTGCTCTCTGGTTCCGCCGCAGGCGCTCGTCGCGCTGCTAAATGGCGGTTCCGGAGCCGCAGCCGTGGAGGCTGCCGTACGCGCCCTGGCGGCCCTCACCGGCCATCCCACATTGCGTCTGGGTCTTGTTGCCGCCGGAGCTACCGAGGGCCTTATGTCGCTAGTGGAGAGGTCGGGGGGGCCTTTGCTGGCGGCGTGGATACCAGACCCGCTACCTGGCGGCGGCGGCGGCGGCGGCGGAGGTAAAGGCGGAGGGAGCCCTAGGATTGGTGGCGGCGGCGGCGGTGGCGGCTTGGTTGCCGCCACGGCGCCGTACAACAACATTATGGAGCTGGCATTGCTGGCGCTGGTGAGGTGCATTCGTAGCTACGCAGGAGGGGGTGGTGGCGGCGGTGGTGGCGGCGGCGCCGCCAGGGCGACGGCGCCGGGAGGTGGCGGCGGCGGCGGTGGAAGCGGCGGCGCAGGTGAACTTCCTGCAGCTGTGTTGCAGCTTCTGCTTGATGTGGCGGCGGTGCCGGTCTCTCCTTCTCCGCCGCCGCTACAGCCGCTACAGCCGCGGGGTTTCCCGCTACTGCAACCTCCCATGACGGCTTCGCCGCCAGCGGCGGCGACTCTAGCCGCAGCACCGGCGCCGGCGCTGGCGGCGTCGATGGTGCACTCAGGCTTTCTGGACTCGGACGGGACGGCGCAGCAGCCTCCCGCACGTGCCATGGCGGTGGTCGAGGCGACGGAGGTGCGGCTGGTGTGGGGCTGGTGTGTGGCTGGGTTTGCGTGCATTGGGCCCCCCGCTACCCCGTCATGTGCAGAGCCACACATGAAACACACACAGAGACAGCCGGGCATCATCACGCCCCGACAAATATAATATGGATATACATACATCGTCTAGGAACCTGTTTTGCCAGGTAGGAACTTCTTCTATTACTCCGTCAGTGACAGTTGATACAAGGTCCTTGGAAGTATTAGTTTGGTCTCCTATCTCCTCTAAATGGCCTGATGTATCTCACTGAGAGTCATCAGGCGAAATGTGCTCCTTCCGACCCTCTCTACCTGGGCCCCACCGACATTTAAAATTCCTTGCTCGTATCCGCAACATAAGAGAGTTCACCGTGCCGCCGCCACACCGGTGTACGAATACCGTAACTAAATATATTGTATTAACGTTTTTGCCTGGTCCTGGTCCATAGGTCTATGTTGCCTAATCGGGCCCTGGTCCATAGGTCTATGTTGCCTAATTAGGCCCGAGGCCTAGTTTGGGTTTTATTTTAATAAATCTTCGCGTTGCCTGTCTAAAAAATGTATGTCTGTTGCCTGATCAGGCTCTGGCCGACATGGCCCGCGATGCTCCCGGAGCGCTGAGGTTGATGACTTTCGCCGGGCACCTGGTGCTGCTGCAGCGGCTGCTGGCTGCGATGGTGAGGGGAGGGATGGAAATGATTATGTCTCTGTGTGTAGGCGCGTGCGTGTATGTGTGTGTGTGTGGTGGTGGGGGGAGGGGGGAGTATTACGAGGATGGATGGGTAGATTCAGTACATCGGAACGGCAGAAAAACAAGGTTCGATGGTTTGTGTATTTCATTTCATGTCAAGTACCACTGTTGCGAAGAGGGGTTTCCCGTGGAGAGGATTTTGGAAATCTCCTAGGGTATTGCGGTGGTGATTTGGATGTGGGGTTTTGGGGGAGGGAGTAGCTGTCGGGGGTTTGATCTGTTGGGGTCATAGTCAAAGAACTCATCATACATAGTCGTACGGGCCCTTCCGGGACAGTACGGCACATTGGGATCCATCCTAACTCCCGGAAACCCCCCTCCTGCCCTCCTTACCCCGAACACCCCGGCCAGCCTGCTGCACATGTACCACCCACACCACCTCCTCCCCCCTCCTCCACCGCCACCACCGCCTCCGCCGCCGCTGCCGCTGCCGCCGCCGCAACATCATCACCTCCACCCCCACCCACATCGCCAACTCCAACCCTGGAGCCATTCCGCCGGCGGCAACTGGACTCATGTCTGCGGGGCCTGGCGCGTCTAGCCATGGCCGCCCCCTCCCACCCTGACCTCCGTCTTGCTCGCACACATGAAGTACTGCTACATGTACTGCTGGCGTTGGGACTGGCGGACAAACCCGGGTGGTGGGCGTTACAGGTAAGCGTCAAGTGCGGCGCGGGGTGGGTGGGAGGGTGGGAGGGAGGGAGTTAAAGGAAGGTGGAGGCTGTACGGATGTCGTACGAGCTGGGCAAAGGCTGAGCTGACAGATCTTACGGTCGCCATCGTCATCGTTGACATTGACGTTGACGGTGTCGCCACCGCCGCCGCTGCCGCAGGGACTGTGCGCCCTGGCGGCCGACGCCAGCTGCGCGGCTGACCTCGTGGCTGCCGGCGTGTTGCCGCCGGTGGTGGCGGCGCTGAGAGGACTGGCGGCGGCGGCGGCGGCGCCTCCGCCACGCCGCCGCAGTGCCCCGGGTGGCCACCGCAGCTCTAACAGAAGCAACGTGCCGCCGCCGGTGACGTCGTCGCCGACGGAACCGCCGCCTCCGCCACCACCTCGCGCCCTGATCAGTATTGACGTCAGCACCGCCGGCGCCGCCGGCGCCGGCGCCGCCGCCACCGCCTCTGGCAGCGGTCCCAGCACCTCCGAACGCGACATCGAGGTGGCCCACTTGTTGGGCTTGCTTCTTCAGAATGTCGCGGGACATAAGGCCCTCGCCCGAGTGGCCGTATCTGAGGGAGCAGTCCCCGCCATATGCGAGGTAGGGGGAACGTTGGGAATGGAAGCGGTGGATGTGGGGCTTGATTCTGCATCGGAAAATAAGCAGTGCCGATATGTGCTTTCCCCGCCCAATACACCGCCCCAACTGCCCCAACTGCCCCAACTGCCCCAACTGCCCCAACTGCCCCAACTGCGCGAACCAGAAAGGTCATGCATGCAACTGCCCCAAGCAGCTTCAAAGCAGACTCGGAAAACCTTGCCCTCGGAAACCGCCCAAGTAATCTTGGTTGGAAAACTCACACACAAGGTCTTGGGGGTTTATCGGACATGTATGTATGTTTGTCGCCGTCGTCGTTTCTGCACTCACGAGGCGGTGCACTCCCGAGCATCCTTATCAAGATGATGAGCACAGTCTGTATGGGGTACGTGGGCTATGCGCTATGTTGGTGCCGCCCATTCCCATTCCTGTCGTTTAAAAGAAAAAGAATATCTTCTTCTACAGAATTCGAATATTCCACACGAAACCTAATCTCTCCGGCATCGCCTTTCCTCTTTCCTCCTACACCGCCCGCACCCTCCCCCCTTCCCTCCCCCCTTCCCTCCCTTCCGCCCCCCCCAGTGGCTGGCGGTATGTGCCGCAAGTGATGACGTGGAGGGTGCCGTACTTTGCTGCGCCACGTTGTGCTTGCTGGGGGACGGCGACCCCGGGGCGCTCGTGGAGATGGTCCATGCGGACGGGGTCGACACCCTGGTGGAGCTGCTGCACCCCCGCTGGGCTACGGCCGCCCTGGTGCCGTCCACGGTGGCGGCGGCAGTAGCAGTAGCGTGCCGCTGGCCGGCCTCCGCGCAGGCGGTTCGTATGGCGGCGGGGATACCGGCCCTGGCGGACACCCTCCGGGGACCCCACGGCCTGGCGTGTTGCCGCCCCGTCGTGAGCGCGCTGGTGGACTTGATCGCAAACGACCCGCCGGCGTTGAGGGAAATCAGGTGCGTGTATGTATGTGTATGTATGAATGTTGTTACAGGGTGGTTAACTTCGCCAGCGGCCCCCTTTCCCGGGGCAGTCCCTGCTCTCCCCTGCTAGAGGGGCACCCTAATCCGTCACCTCATCCGACTTCAGAATGTATTCGTTGGGTTCGGCAACTCACCACCAGCATCCAACCAAACCTAGCGGATCAACGGGGCATCAACTTAGTTCCTGGTCAGCTCGCAAGTTGATATTATCACGTCCTACATCGTCCATATGATGGGGGGCCTCCTCCCATTTCCACACTCCTCAAACACCCGAGGAGCGGGCAGGCGGATTTGAACCCGGGTCGGCCGGGAGCAGAAGTCAAGCCTTAACCTCTGCCAGCCGCCTGCTTATGTATGTATGCGGAAAGTGGGGTCCGGTGTTGTATTAAGAAGTGGGGGATTTCGTTGGACGTTATTCTCCTGGACCTACGTGACCTGACCTCTGACCTCCCATCCGTACATCCGTACATCCATACATCCGTACAGGACTACCAACACGGTTATTGCACTTGGCACCCAGCTACAGCTGCTGCCCAACAACGACCCCAGATCTGCGCGGATACGGCTACTGCTGCGGCAACTGGGCGAGGACCCGGATACGGCCATGCGCCTGGCGAACAGCGAGGCGGACAACGCAATCGCCACCGCCGCCGCCGCGCCGCACCACCCCAACCACCCTCACTACCACCACCACCACCCGCACTACCACCACCACCACCACCCGCACTACCACCACCACCACCACCGAGCCGGCCTCCGTCACCATCCCAACGCCGCTGCGACGCGGCTACAGCTTCAAGCCGCCGCCGCCGTCGCCGCCGGCTCCGGAGGCGGCTCCTGGCGGTGGCGTTTCGCCAGGACGAGCGACTCGGGACCGGCGCCGCCGCCACCGCCGCCGCCGCCAGCACTGCTACAGCCGCTGGGTGGCTACGGCGGCAACTTCCCTGGAGTTGTTGGATGTTCGTATTCTTCGCACGTGGGGGGTATTCGCCGCAGTCTGCGTGCTTCTAGCCCCGGTGCCATCGTGCCGGTGGAGACGCCGGCAGAGGGGGGGGTGCAGTGGCGGGGGGGTGCGTCAGGGGGTGGTTCATCGACGGCGGGGGGAAGGGGCGGGGCAGGATCGGAGGGTTTGTGTTCGTCGCGTGAGGACCTGGATTGCGTTTTGGCGGCTCTGCGTGGGGAGTCGAGCTACA